CACTTAGCTAATTGGAGCGTCTAAGTCTATCGGGGCGCTCTTCAAGTGTCCAGCAACCCTCATGATAATCATGTCCACGCATCTTTTGCATTTCAAATCGGATGATGATCATCATGACGCATCCTCAGCATCACCAGCAGTCATCATGATAATCATGTCCACGCATCTTTTACATGTAGCTTGTTCATCTCTGCTACAATTGAAGTCGAAAAAAAGAGATTATGATGACCATTTGGACGCTGGGGAGGTGGGTCAGGTGCGTGAAGGGGTAGACCCCACCCCAGCAACTTCATAAGCACATATTTGCATAATCGGGTGTGTCTTTCTTCAGGGGAGCCCCCAAAATGGTGGCTTTACTTTGGGTTTCCATGAAAGCCCAAAAAACAAGGAAAAAAAACACCCATTTATAGAAAAGCCGGTAAGCCGAGATTCTCAAATAAACCCTGACTCGGTGTACTGCAGGCAGGCAAAATGAGCCGAACACGCGCAATCGGATTTACTGGGCCTGATGAGGGGTGCTGTAGAATCGCGGCGCCCCTTTGGATGTGTTTGTTTCTAGGGGACACCGCTCCTATTTCTGGTCGGGACTGTCCCCCCACTAACCTGCATCTACCCAGGTTTGATCTCGGCTCAAATAAGCAGCGACCAAACATGCTTGACCTTTAGTTCTACCAAACACGGTTGTCAAGGTTTATGTAGACCCTACAAGAAAGCAACATGAAGCCAGGTAGTAGACCCACCTATATATCAAAAATGACAATGGAGGGTGAGCAGCGGGCGCTGCTCAGTGGTGGTCGTTCGGTTCTAGTTCTTGGCTCGGCATCTCTGTCCACGCTGCAGTAGAAGACTTTCCGGCAACGAGAGCCTCAGACCCGGCTAGGCGGCAAATCCATCCATCTGGTCTCGAAATTCCAGGGTCGAAATCCCCTCATGTCAAGCTGGGTTGACTCCGCCTGAATTAAGGGTTCTGTAAATCAAACACCATGAACAAGGTCACAAAGCGTAACGCGCCGAAAACATCGCGATTTCGGAGATAATCTAGCTAGCTACATAGTTGCCCAAAGTGGTTTGGATTAGTTGTGGGGTGAACCCACACCCCCAGCCCAGTTCCGCGTGAGATCACAATGGAAGGTAAGCTGGAACACCACCCAAAACAATGACATCCTGTTACCAAGCCTGACGAATGCAGGTTCCACATGAGTTATCCCGCGATTCATGCAAATAGACGTGTCAAATGTGCCATCGTCAATGGACCCTCACAAATCTGGCGTTGCCTTGCCTATGAAACGGGTTTGTTGCATGCTTTGTGGTTGCGTTGATTTGAATATTGGGGGCCCATGTTAAGAGGGCATTCAGCTTCCAGAACTCAGGCTGAATACTTCCAAACCTCCGGTATGTCAGCAATGCTGTTCTTTGCAGACCCCCATCAAGCACGAACGACTCAATCAGCAACATAGGGGTGGCTCGTCTTGTCTCGAGGTTCGATGCCCGTTATAAGCAATGCAAAAGGAGAACCATATTTTTTGGGGTCACCCAATTTTGATACATACCCATAGAGGTGTGCCTTGTTTTAGTCATCCCGGCCAAAATGGTGGTTTGCCTTTTGGTTTCCCTTTAGAATCCAAAGACAAACGGGTACCCCCAAAAGAGCTACACACCAATAGGGACCCACTTGATGTTCCACATCCCTTTGAGAAACAAACCCGGGAACCCCCGGAGCCCGGGCAGCAGAACGTTCCGCCAGCTCCGCACGGGCACACAGAGCCTGCCCGATGGAGGTTCCAGTTGGTGTGGGCTTCATGTTGTGTTACCTTTCAACGTCGGGCTCATGTGGGAATGTGTCAAAATAGGGACCCCCAAAATGTTGGCTTTCCTTTGGATTGCTTTTGGGACCCATCTACAATCTAAAAAGGGTACCCTCAAATAATGTTGGGTTTCATGTTGTCGGTTTTTCTGGTTGGGGGTCGATGGTCCTTTCAGTTATTCAGTCGCCGTCAATGGGAAATGCTGGACACACAAGAAGGTGAAAAGCCAAGTCACCTGCCAACAGTTGTCTCAAAGAAATGAGCTTCATTTTTACGTGATCAACACGCATGTTTTGTTTGGGGGAGGGGACGTGTAAGTACATGTATGCTTGAATGTGCTCGGCGTACAATATATCTATATATAGGGGGTGTATATATATATATATATATGCGTCAGTGACATTGTCCTACCGAATTCCCCACGGCCAACGCTCAACGGTGCCTCCAGGCCCAGGCGCCGCGTCTCCAAAAAGGAAGAAGCGGAAGCCTGGCCTCAGCATTCGGGTAATCCACCCGGAGGGCTGAAGGAAGGGACCCGTTGGTTGACATGGCGATCTATATCTGTAAGTTGTTTGGCAGGATTCCAACTCACTCTTCAACATCGTAGCCATATTATGGGTAGGACCGGGCAGGAATTTTAATAGGGGACCCTTCGGTGGACATCATTTAGGTAGGGATGTCCACCAAACACTTGTGAGAGGGTTCCTTGATAATATTCATAGCCATATGGATGCTGGGTCCCCTTTTTGGATGGTTTTAGGGAAAAGCCACAAGGAAGCCAGGCGCCTGAAAATGGTTGGTCTCTGGGGTGCTCCAAGCCGGATCTGACATCTGGCAAACGGACTTTGGATTGATTTTGAACAAACCAAGTTGTAAGACAGCCTGAAAAAGAAACAAGGACTGGAAGAAAGGAAGCTTAGCTGTCGCAAACCCCGGTCGGGGTATGCTCGCTTCATTCGCCCGAAAATGGTTCCGTCTCTTGGCTCTGGCAACATCAAAAAGCACACTCCTCCTTTAGTTTCCTTGTGGAACTATTAAACAAATACCATGCCTTTTGCTGCTGGAAACATTCAAGATGACTATCCCCTTGTAGTTTCCTTCTGGGTAAATTAAGCAATTGCTCCCCTTTTCGTTTCCGAACTCATACAACGATCTTCACTTCCGCGGATTGGCCAAACAAAGCTTTACCCATGGATCTCCCAGGCTCAAAGTGAAAATCGGGGAGTGGGCTTCAAAGGTCCAAGGCGCTGCCAAGGTGCCCCAGCAAGAGATTGCTCTACTTTGGGCCCACATTTGCGTACCCTAAAATACGAAATAGGAGGAGCCCTGCAACGATGCTTCTTGTCGGTTCAATGCTGTTTCTGTCAACTTCTATGATTCGCGGTCGCATCTTAAGCGGGTTTTGATCAGGAGCTTTGAGGCAAAGCGGCTCCGAGAAGTAGATGGCCGCCACGCTCACGTTGCTGTACCTAAGGAAGCATGCGGTCAGAATATGCAGCTGCCACAAGAGAAATGGGGGGAATGAGTGAGATTCGGGATTTCGGTTTTAGTGAGTGTCCTTTGTTTGCAAAAGGACATGGACAAATCAGCGATGTTCCCCTGTTTTTCAGCTATACACGATATGTTGTGTATATATACCTAGGACCTCCATTGTGTGTAAAATAACTGCTTTTTCAGAAATATCTGCTTTTTCACCCCTGCGAGCGTTTTTCAAATTTGCGAGCGTTTTTCCTAATCATAAAATCTTTGATAATTCTGCAACTTCTGCACTCACGATTTTCGTGAACAAAGCGGATTTTGCCGGTCAAAAAGCGGATTTTGCCGGTCAAAAAGCGGATTTTCCTGCCATTGAATACGCTGCCCGCTCCAGGAAAACTATGGAAGGAAGCAAGGCTCCAAAAAGCACTTGTGAATCGAAACGGCGGATTTGAAACGAAACGACGGAAATTTGTGCTTTTTCATCAAACGGCAGAAATTTTACACAGCGGATGTTCTAGGTATATATATTTGCATACAAGTACCCCCCCCCACCCACCCATGCCCCTCGAAAACAGACCATAGACGGAACACTCTGACCGAACCTGTGGCCGTAACGCTCCCGACTTTCTGACCAAGACGGGTTGTCTTTGCAGGCACTTCCCAAGCCATCCGGCTTTCACAAGATATGAACTTGCATTTCTTTGACTATATGGTGTTTCCGTTCACAAAGCAACTGTCCGACGGACCTACAAGAAGTGAAGCTTGCTGCTTCGCGCATCGCAAAGATCGGCCACACCACCAAATTTTACTTGTTGCTGGCAAGTCGTATGAAGTGTTCCTTTCCAAAACAGTCAAGAGTTCAAGGTCACCCAGGACAGGGTGACACACATGGGTGTATTTTTGCGGCAAAGGAATCTATATCTTTGTTTAAGGCACCTTTGTTGGGGTGGTGTGAAAGGAAAACCCAAAGTATAAACACCAGCTTTGGGATCCTCCTATCTTAAGGCACCCCCAAAACTACATTTACCGACAAAGAAACAGAAGCACATGGAAAAGAGCCGACACATAATAATAATAATAATGATAATGCTCGACAGGTTTCTCGCCCAAACAATTAACCGTTTCCGCCCATGGACATTTTGCAAACCTCGGGGATACCCAAATGGCAAGCCTATGATCTGGGCAGTTCCTAAAATGGGCAAACGCCAATGGACCTGGGGATAGCAAGCCACAGAGCCCCCCAGAGCCCCCCAGGCTTGGACGTAAAAAAGGGTGAATGGAATCTCAATAAGCCTGAAATAAGCCCATAAGGCGTCAAAATGGGTATGGACGCAAACAGTCCAGCTCTATGAAACCGGAAGCAAATGGACACCTCGTAACATGCTTTCTGTTTCTCGCCTTGGCAGCTGAAAAAAGTTGCCGAGCGTTTCGGCTTTCGGGTCGATCAGTCAAATGTCGAAACGCGGCCGAGAGCACGTGGAGAGCAAGGCTTTGCACCTGGACATCACCAGAGCCTCCACCAGTACGTCCTGGCAGGGAGAAAGGGCGTGAACTGGAACAATGATCTTCCCACTAAAGTCGAGACCCTTCGTGTACAATTAAGATGACCCTCCCCTGCCGGCCCTGCCCCACACCCCGGTGCCCCAACCACCAAGCCGCAAGCCACCCTAGACCCACCTGAACCCCTTGCCCCTTGCCCCTCTCGGGCCGCTTTTTCTCACAAGGGATAGGCTTCCAAGCACTCTGCGAGAGCCGAAGCGGCCATCTCTGGCACAGCCTGCAGAACTGTCAGACGAAATTGGTGAGAACCAGGGGCAAACCCTTGTACTACTGACGCCCTGTTTGCAGACCTGCAAAACATGAAATCAATGTTGGTGGGGTTCCCCAATGGTAATTGCCACTGGTTCTTCTGTGAACCACAAACCATTCTAACTATGTAGGCCCTTCTAGTGCCCGTGTTTGTAGCTCCACAGAAAAACCTATCTTTGGGTGGGTTCCCGCTAAGCGCAAACGCTTTCATACTTTCTAGCACGTTTCAAGTGCATCTACCTGTGCCTAGCTTAGCTTGATTGCATGTCCGGTTCCATTCCCCCGCATGGCTGTATCAAGTCTGGTTCAAAATATGCTTGAAGAGTTTCTTATAGCATGTGTCAAACCACCAGCATCCAACATCCCAGCAAGTGCTTTGTTGTGTGCTATTCCCAGGCATAAAACACGCTTGCCTTACTCAGAAAAAGCGCGCGCTGGGCACCACACACTCCTAAACCACCAATTAAGCGATGCCTCACTAACCACCTCCCAACCCCCACCCAACCCCCATACCCCAACCCCCAACTCCCAACCTCCAACCCTCAACCCTGAACCACCAACCCTCAACCACCAACCCACCCCCCCTGCCAAAAAAGGATAGCTTCAAAGGTCGTCTTGGGACTGGGCAAAACACGCGGCCTTGAAGCCTTGCAGGCGATAGTGGCACGGCAGCAGCGGCCCCTCTATGAGCGCTCGGTGCAGCGGATGGGACACATCCTGAAAAGTGGGGGGGGGGGGGGTTGGCCTCACCGGGGAAACCTACATTTCGGGGTTATTCTGAGGGTACCTTTCTTGCTGAAGGGAAACCCAATCGAAAACTACGAGTTTTGAGGTCCCCGTGTTTTGACAAATACACAAATAGAGTGTTGCCCAAATGTTATCAAATTGTCACCCCAGTTACAAGGGTTCGATATTCCACCCACCTTGCCTGGACTCGAGACATAGGACTAGCTAACTCCCGAACCATCCAGATGACAACAAATGATTCATCACCTTTGATTTCCTGTTGGGGAAAAAAACAACAGATGCACCATTTGGGTGCCGTTCCCGTCTTTGAGTCGGTGCCCGTTTGGATTCTTTTCAAGGGACACCACAGAAAGAGCAGGACACAGTCTTGGGGCCCCCGTATCCGGAAGCAAACCCTTTTGCTTAGGGCTCCACTATACTGGAATCATAATTAATATGAATGACACAACCCAAGTCGAATCAAACAAACATACCAACACACTTCATGGAGAAGCAACTAGTTGCCTCCTTTGGAGTTCCATGTTTGATGGTGGCTTCTTCCCACCTGAGAAAACACCCTTGTCTGTGGCCCCAAGTCCCGGTTTCTCCTCCTTCTCTACAACATACTGTGGATGGACGAAATCCTGCACCACTTTGAAACCGTGGGCAACCATTGTTTGTTGGTGTTTACAGGGGACGCATCACTCCAGGCTTCTCAGGTGGTGCGAAATGGATTTTGTCAACAGCAATCACTCCATTGGGTTTTTGTAAACACACACACACACCACAAATAAAAACATTGGGTTGGGCTGCTATAAAAAAAGGCACCATGTGGTGTTGCATTGTTTTCAATAATCAAATAAAAAAGGTAAACAACAGAAAAACAAAACACTGTGCAATTGGGACAATTCGTCTCCTCCAAGATCTCGGTGGGTCGCACCTGGGCAAAGCCCGAGAGGCGCTCCGCCATCTCCACGTAGTCGTGGGGGAACTGGGGCCGCGGCACCTGCTGGCCTGAGAGGTAAAATTGAACCGGTCGTTTAGGACATAGGAACAACACGGAGAGCACGGGCAACGCTGGAAAATGCCGGGAAAAACACAGGGAAAACGGGAAACACAGGGAAAACACATCGGATAAAACAGGAAAAACAGGGTGACAGATGTAGGATAGTAACAGGAAAAACAGGACACTTAATATGTATAATTCAAGGACACAACCAAGAAACACAAGGAGCACACCCAGGAATACAGCAAGAACACAACAGGGAAAGCCGGAAAACTGTGGAACCAGGGCACAACAGGAACAAAACAAGGAGAAACCACAGGAATCAACCAGGGACAAAGAGAAACTAAAACAGTTACAACACCAGGAACAATCCAGGCCCAACACAATTGAATGGGGGAGATTCTATGAGTCTGGCTGGGCTTATCCCCTAGCCTTCAAGCCAGTGACATGGGGATGGGGTCATAGTGTTGTGCCTGAAAACCAAACTCCAGGGTGGGCTTGCCATGAGCCCAACTCCAACCAGTAACTCTGTAAGGCAGCCCAACCTGAAAGGCATCCCAAGGGATTTGGCTGGGCCTCCAGCATGGAGCCTGTCGCAAATCAAAAAGACCGCACAACCATTTGCTAAGCGGCACATGGGCCGTATGAACAAGCGGATGAAACACTCTTGAACCAGGGGCTCACCCAGGCGTACAAACATTCCGCACATATGAGGCGCACATCCAAGTGAATCATAGACACAACATGGCCTTTTACAATAGTGGAACCCCAAAAAACGGAGGCATTCCATTCAAACACCTGACATACGGCTTCAACCTTTGAAAGGAGCCTTCATGGGGCCCGAGGTCACTGTGAGCGACTTGCCATGGGCGAGTCTCGCGAGACAACCAAGAAGAAAACTACGCACCTTGCGGTCCAAGTCATGACATACACACACACACACTCACCCACGCGCGCACACACACACGTATGCTCTGAAAAAAATCACATGGAGCCCAATAGGGTTCCAGGTTTCTTTGGCTTCCTGGTGAAAGAAATCCAGGAAGTGCATGAGCCTAAACTAAGTTCTTCTTGTTGATGTTTTGTCGTTTCACTCATGTGCAAGCAGATCCAGTTGCCCAATGGGTGATGCATGGTCCTTGGGACAAACATAAACAACAACTAATGGAGGTCCAGACTTGGCTGGCTGTGTGTTTTTTTTCTTCCCAGATCTCCCCTTTCAACGAGCAACGCGGTAGCTTCCAAGGAAAGTTCAGGCCAAGGCCTTTGACTTTGGAGGTATATTCCGAACTTATATAACACAGCGAAGGGTTCGGCAAAAGGCACAAAGTCAACTCCGCCGGGAATCCTACCCCCTGCAAATTCACATGGATCACACAAAGCTAGGTCCTCCAGTAGAGAGGTTGGAATAAGGGTACCCTTTTTTGTGTAGTCTATTCTAGTAGGGGAACCCTCCCCCAAAAAAGAAACGGTAAAAGGACACTACTGGGGGACCTAGAAAGGAGCCAAAACAAAGATTCGCCCAACTAGCGACCCCATCACGCTGCTTTCATCTAGGCTCGGATCTGGAGCTCGTGGTGCAAGGCCTCCTGAAGCTGCTCCTGTGGCAAACTCATCCACTTTACTGGCCTCATTTTGAGAAGGATTCATATGCTGGGTTCATTGATGGGTGTAAATATTATTAAGCAAGAGAAAATATATATTAACCACAATGACTTACTGATGGCCTTGTTGATGGGTTCGAAAATAGTTTCACGAATGGGGAGGGGCATTCTGTGGGTGGACTTCGCACCAAATCGGATTCATGGCCCAAATCTCTGCGCTCATAGGCGTTCCTCCGGCCCAACTGGTTTTGTCCATCCTCAGTTTGGGAATGGCTCACTGGGGCGCAAATGATTTCATTTTTGTGGGAAACCCAAGAGACAGACTACAAATACAAGGGCGCCATGTTGGGAGTTTTGCGGAGAGCAAGGCCATGTCTCTAAGCCAAGAGCGTTTTGTGGTTGGCAAAAAATCTGACTTCGTGAAACCAAGAAACAGAGGAGTACCCAGTCTTTCCAGCTACCACTAAGGTAGGTAACCAGGCGAACCATGATGGAACAGCTACAGAAAGCCATTCCTGGTTACCTACTATAGTGGCTTGCCTGGAAGCACTGGGGTCGACAAGCAAAGGCAAGCGCGAGGTTGGCCGTTTCTATGGCTCACCGCTCCTGTCGGCCAAAGGGACTCGGGGAAGCCCGATCCCGCCCAGTTGGGCTCCGTGACCCTGGTAGAAACAGGAACGCTTTTGGGGGTTGACCACTTTTTAGTTGGAAACTCACCAAACCGACAGGGAACCAGTATCCATGCACAACTGGGCCAGCGTTTCCTCTAAGACAAGCAAATGGACGTTTGGGAAGGCCACTTTGGGGTGAATACTAGTTCTACCTGACATTGGCGGTCTATTAAAATGGTTGATTCCCTTTAGATTTCCCTTTAAATACCAGAGTCCACTTTTTGAGAAACGCCCACCAAGCAATGGACGCCCAAGAAAGGGGACTCAAATGGGCCGGCCAAAACCCCCAAGGCTTACTGCAGAGCCAAGGCCAGCCATCGACAGCTCGTTTCTGAGCCAAGGATGTTCATTGGTGGTGTCCTATTTACCCTCCACAAGAACCAGGGGTTTAAAAAATCCCCAAACCAATCCAAGCCAGCGAACACTGACTCTGAGTATTGGCAGATCGCGCGACTTTATTAAAGATCGACCTATCGACTTGAAGGGCTAAGCTGTTTCTGTCACCAATCCGTGCCAAGGACCTCAGGTGATCGGCTCCGTAAGTGGTGAGTCGCCTCTCCCCTCCAAATCCCTGGAGAATAACAAGCCTCGCAAAGGACACAGCCACAGGACACATGAACAAACATGCGAAACGGACCAATCGACCAGCCTTTTCGACCCCTCTGGACTAAAACAGATCCGCATAGTGGTTGTGTCTCAAATAACCTGTCAACCACCACCGGATTGGGTTGGGTGTGCAGTAAGTGGAAGTTCCTAAGCTTGAGTTTTCGGCTTCTTTTGGGTGTCCTTCCTGCTCAGCAGGGCTTGAACTCCCAAAACTGGGTTTCGCTTGGGCTTCCATTGGGTTTATTCTGGGTTTCCCTTTTGATTCCCTCCATCTTTTTCGGTGCTGCAAGCCCCCCTCTGCAAAAGGTCTAACCAATTTAGTAGGTGTGGACAAGCCAAGTCTCTGTCCTAAAAGTCTCGCACCAAGGGCCAAATCGCCAAGCGATTTTGTCTTTTTCGAGGGTACCCCTTTGTTTGTTTATTTCTTGGAGAAGGTTTACCGAAAAAAGACACCCCACCCCCCGAGTGGGTTCCTCTTCGGCCCCATTCGGCTCCTCCGAGAGTGGCGGAAGACGGCCGGAGAACACTCCGCAGGCCCAGCGAGACATGAGCTCAATCGCGGCGAAGTAGGGGCCACGGTACAAGCCCACCTCAGGTCGGTGTCTGAGTCGTCTGTACTTTGGGGCTACGGTTTAAAGGGAAACCAAAAGGACACCCACCAGTTTCGGGGTGCCCCTATTTTGACACATACCCATACATTGACATAGAACACACAACAAAAACACATGACAGGAATCTAGTGACTGAAACATATTTCAAATATTCAGTTTCTTGCTTTTGTATACTCCGTGCAAACACGTTTTGGAGCAGTAATCAGCTTCCCTCAAACTTGTGGCTTGGATTGTTTGGTGGTTAAACAAAAATAGTTTCCCATCTGCCCTCGACGAGAAAGGAACGGGGGTTCAAATCCAAATCCAAACCACCAACTACTGGTTACCTGATAAGTGGAGAAAAAAAGAACACGGAGAAACACACACAAAAAAAACACCGACCCCTTTCCGAGGCGCGAAGGCGAGGTTCTTGGCCTTCACCGGCCACACCTGGTGCGCCAGAAGAAGCGGCTGGAGCTGATCGGAGGGATCTAGCTGCAGCTGGTCCTGTAGGCGCGATTCCGATCAGCCGACGGCCCGGACCAATTTCTCGCAACTCGAGGATAGCCCTTTTGGGGCTGGTTTAAAAGAAATTCGAAAGGAGAACCGCTCTTTTTGGGGGGGAGGTCTCCGAAAAAACAATTCCCCCAGCTCTTCTTGAAACAAAGTTAAACATAAACGAACCCAAAGGGGACAATTATAGGGAATCGGAAGCTTGAGACCCCCATGTTCAGAGTTTCAGCACATGAGACCGAGCTCTCGGGGTCCACCAGAGACTCCTGGAAAATATGGTCGAATAAAACATGCCACAAGCAACTAGCAACTGCAAGATACTAGTATGTCGGGTGTGTGTCTCAAAAATCGGCGACCCCAAAATGGTGATGCTTGTGTTGGTGCCCTAACCAGCCTGAGAAGGGGTTCCAAGCCTCAACACAAACACACCCATAATATGGCACTTCAGCCCGGAACCCGAGACCAGTCCTCTCTTTCCACCAAGCGCCTAGCTGCTACACTTCAGCTACTTGCACAAAACATGAAACCAAAGGGTGGTCCGTTTTCCTAGGGGAACATGGGTAAACTTGGCGCCGCAGAAGATCACATACTTATCTGTCAGTACCTCACTACCAGTTCCCTTTAAACCAAACAAGCATCTTGAACATTGACTTTTCCGGGAACTTTGAACTACTGGTCACCAATACTTGCATAGACCAACTGCCTGGGGTGGACTTCGTCCAGCCAAATCAAACAATATAGCCTTCTTGGTTCATTACGACACATACTGGCATTCACCATCTACCAACTGGTGCAGGATTTCATCAAACACAACTGATCCCAATATTTTACCTCCATCAAAGTCGCAAACTAAGTGGTAGGCTAAAGGTAAGCCACCTCAGTTTCTGACTTTAATAACATAGAAACAGTCAAACAAATGACCCAGCAGGATCAACGCGATCGAAACGCCGACTGCAAGCGTACCTGGAGGTCTGAACTCAGGAAAGGCATCTCCAAGCCTCGGCAGGTGAGGAGGCCGATCGCTGACCGCGCTCGCAAGACCTCCCTGCAGAAAACACGGAACCCCGAGACCCCGAGAAACAAATTTGTGTTTTTTGGGAATGGATCACTTTTAATGGGGTTGCATGAGGGTAGGCCACAAACGCGACACAGCTGCACACCACACAACTCCACACCACCACAACCACAACCACAACCACAACCACAACCAGCACCAGCACCAGCACCAGCACCAGCACCAGCACCAGCACCAGCACCAGCACCAGCACCAGCACCAGCACCAGCACCAGCACCAGCACCACCCCACCAGAATCAAGTGATACCGACGTGCGGCTTCAACAAGAGGAAAATACTGAGGGCCTTGGAAAATGTGCCACAAGCCATGGAATACCTCATCCAGTTGGCTTCGCTCCATAAGAATGACTTAAGCCGGTCGAATTTGCTGCATACTGATCATCCTGAGCAAATCCCCAACCCCAAACAGACCAAGGGAACGACCCAGCAAACTTCCCACCATACGTAAGAAGAGGGTTAATGCTTAGGCAAATTTGTGGAAAGAGGCGCTACCACGCTGGGTACATGCACTCCCTTGCCCAGAGCGGCTCAGCTTCTTCTCCTTGCCTCATATCACCCTCAAAATCTGGAGTCGCGTGGGCACATTCCCCCTTTGGGTATGTCAAGAGATTTGGATCCCAAGGCAGCAACCGTCACACCCCCATTGAGAGGGTCGTGGACCGCCCGGTGGAATCCATTGGGTTTCGATCTGGAGAGGGCCAGAATGATTTGAATGACCCACTTCCAAGGGAACCCGATGACAACATGCACCATGCACCGCAGGAATCGCCGGTGGTTTGCGCAGGAATGTTTGGGGGGAGTATTCCCAGACTTGGTACTGTGCCCATCGAGTCGCGGCTGAGCAGGGCAATCCTCGGGGCCCCTGCCCTTGTCAAATGGATGGGTATGAGGCGGACCCCTGGCCAGAAATCCGCCGAGCTTTCCGTGGGCCTGCGGCCATCCAAAGCTCACACCCCACGCAATGGGGAGCCCCTCGGAAAGTGGTCGGATTCCCCAGGGACACATGAATGAACCGGGGGTGACTCATAGGGGTCAACCACGGGGTTTCTCAACATGTTGTCACTTATTCTCCAGCCAGGGCTCCTTTTCGAGAACTTTCAGAGCTGGACCTAGGTGCCATGGGAGTGCAAGAGGTCTGGGGATAGGTTGTGAAGGTGCGAACTTTGTCGCCACAAAACGCAAACCACGCAGGCCACCTAAACCAAAAAGCACGTCTAAAAGATTGACTCCGTTTTGAACATGTCAGGTTTGGTCCTTGGAATTATCATTATGCAAGTGGCGATACCCCGTCGCCAGGAGGATGTGGTCAAACTCCGCGCACCCGTCCTCGAAGGAAACCCGGTTGCCCTCCGCCTACGGTCGGGCCGGTGGGGATTCAACTTGCCCAGTGCCGGGATGCAAAGGGCACAATGAATCAAATACTTGCTGATATTGAAACCCACCCAAAGAGAAGGATCAATGGCTACCACTGAAGGGTGAGATTTCCCTGAAACGGAGTTGCACATGTACCCTATTTTCGTCTGGGCTTTTAGGAGGCACTGTAAACCATCCTACGATCAATGAGGTGGCAGGGAAAACACGGTGAGGTCGGGTAAGCACGCCAGGTACCTTTTCATCGGGGCCATGGTCCCAAGCCAAATTGAAATCAGTGATTGACAGATTGCACCATGTCTTGCAGTGTTTTGGGCTAACAAGCTATGCAAGGAACAGTTAAAGTTGTGGCACAGAGTTTTAACGTTCCGGGGCATTCGAGTGTGTAGACGTTGATATCGTGTGGCAGCCCAAGCGAACTGCACACGGAAGTGGGCCAGCCGAAGCCAACCCACCCTCCCAAGCAAGGGCACTCAAGCCTCAAGCAAGACATCGAGATTGCCCACCTACCACCAACCAAGGGGGGGAAGACACAACCACCACCCCCCTCATCATTCGAGTTAAACACGTGGCACAGAGTGTTGACGTTCGTCGCTCAAGCGACCCCAGCTAAGGCCTTCTGCAAACATTTGGCACTTGCGCACAGCTTGCGACAAGCTCAGTTTGAAGAACGGACCACGTGCGTCCAAACTAGTTTGTGTGATAAGTGTGATCCCAACAACTCCACGGGGTTGACACGACATACGGGTTTCTGGACCGTAATTGGAATTTTGAACACAAACAAAATTGTTGGGGGGGTGGTGACCAAGCTGGCTGCGCCCGCGCCTGCACGACACGGCCCCGAACTTCTACTCTGCCAGAGCGAACCGCAGAAAGAAACTCGTCGGAAATCGCCACGGCCGGTATGTCACCCCGATCCTCAAGGCAAGCAGCTGGCAAACAAGGTACCAGGGCAACGCAGTCAGCCCACACTGGAAGCCAAGCTAAAGGTAGCAGCCAGACTCAGGCATGCTGACATGCTGCAACTTCCCCCCCCAAAGCGGAAAACTTCTCGCCACCTACGCAGAAATGGCTGGCGTGCGCCATTTAATAGCAGCAGCTATGGCACACCGCAGCCTCGAAATGCGGTCCATGGGAGGAGGGGACAAGTTGTCAAGACTTGTCTTTTGGCTGCTTTCGGACACGCAGATCTAGTTGGTGTGGTTTCTCAGTTTGTCGCATTCTCTGACTCTGTATCGGATTTTCAGATTGGTGGATCTCGGGTTCCTTGTCCAGGGGGTTGAAGAACTTTAATTTGCGTACTCTCGCTGCCTGTGTGAACAACCCAAGCCAATGCCCAAAGGATTGCTGAAAGCTTGCAGGGCCGGTGCAAATTAGCCGCCTCTCGTCGGATTTGCCCGCGCTTTGCTGCGGTGGCGAACATTTCTTAGCGTGCTTAATGTAGCTCGTGCGCGTGGAGGCCGGCAGGCATCAGCTCGCTGCCTCGGCACAAGCCTAAACACGCCGGCGCTCCACCTTGAGTCTCGGGCTGCTCGCAAAACTTGCGCCACTCGGGGGATGTGTGCGAACAAGCTCCGAGACTAAGGCATGACGTAGGTGTGGTCAAAACACGCTCGCGGTCGCTTGAAGGTCCATTTTTTGAACTTCCCCCGTTTGTTTTGGGTTTTTTCCTAGATTTTCTGTCTTGGAACTGGCAGGTGCGATCTCCCTTGGTTCTGCTGTGGCTTGACTCGTTTTGCACCAGCGCTGTCAACATCCCCGGCATCGGTTTAACTTGGCAGCATCCTTTTCAACACCTCAGCATCACGAGTTGGATTTGTTAATCCCACCTCCCTATTAATAAATACGCCCCCCCCCCCCCCCCAATTATACAAAACCCTCCCAAAAACATATATTTTTTAATTGGGGTTTTGGGGGTTGGGTGTTTTTGCTTTTCCAACAATGTGAGGGTTCACATAGGATTTGGAGGAAATGGATTGAATTGTAAGGTCCGCGAGTAAGCGGTTTAACAATTTTATGTATCGTTCTATTTGTTTTTCAGTTTATTGGTTGTTTGCTTGCAGCCAGGCAGGTTAGGTAATTAATTAGCCAGCATGTACGGGAGAGAGATAGTCGCAGCTAGACAGCTTTTGGGGACATGTTTTCTTTTGAGGGACACCCCAATAATTAAAGGACCCAATTAAAGGATTGGCTAAGGGGGGAAGAGAGCCAGGCAGGAAGCCAGGAAGCCAGGAAGCCGTGCGAAAAAAGAAAAAAAAGGAGTGGGAAGAGAGTCAGGGACAACCTTTTGAAAAAACCCACCAAAAGGACCCAACCTTTTGGGGAACCCACCGTTTGGGGAAGCAACCCTTTGGGGAATTCATCTTTTGGGGAACCCACCTTTTTAAAAGTGGGGCTGGAAGCTTGTTAAAAGTGCCCCCTAATAAGGATTCCAAGACTTTAGTATTGGTTTAGTATTGGCTCAATTAAAAATCAATTGTGCGGAGTGCATATCTGGTCTCGGGCCCCGGATTTCGATTTTTTATTAATTGGGGTCATTCATTAATAGGGGGCTGGGATTATAGGTTGGCTAGGGTTGGTTCAGGGTGGGTTCCGGGCATTTTTAGGGCAAGTTTGGGGGTGACTGCGCTTTAGGTACTGGGATGGTTTAGTGCTGGTTTATGGTGGGCTTCTTGGGGTTGGTTTAGGGGTTTAGGGCTGGTTTAAGGTAAGTTTAGAGTTGGTTTAGGTGGGATGGTGTAGTGTTGGTTTGGTTTGTTTGGGGGGGGGGGAGGGAACGGTTGGTGTCGGGTTTGCTTTGGGTTTGTTGAGGGTGGGTGTAGAGCGAGTTTAGTTTGGGTTTAGTGCTGGTTTACGGGGGTTAGAGATTGGCTTTGGGGGGGGGTTTAAGGTGGGCTTATTAGCAATGGCTTTGTGCTAGTTTGGTGACTTAGGGTTGGTTTGGGTGGGGTGGTGGGTTGCGGGATTGGCTTAGGGTTGTCGGGGTTTACCAACCGAACATCCAAAAAGCCAAAAGCTGATGATGCTGAGGATGCGGAAAGCCAAAGCCACAAAGGCCACAAAGAGTAAAGCCAAAAAGCCGAAGAGCCAAAGAGCCAAAGAGCCAAAGAGCCAAGAAACCAAAAAGCCACAAACCAAAAGCCGAAAAGCCCAGACTCCAAGAAGACACAGGCCAAACAGCCAAGAAGTTAAGGAAAAGCAGGACAAAATCCAAAAAACATAGCCCTCCAAACAAAGATGTCGACAAGGGGCCGCATTTTACGGATTCATCGAACCAACAAGTTTCATTGGGAAGGGTCTCCACATGTAGCCTCTCACTACACAATCGTTTATGCCATTCTTACGATGGGGCTTGCAAGGCATTCACAATAGGCAAGTGTTAAGTTTCAAGAGTTGTGTGTAAATGTTCCAAGACACGCGGAAGAACCTAAACCTCCAGTGTGTTGCTTGGTGCTGCTCCTTTACAACCACCCAAAAACGAGATACCGAGGCTCCACAGAAGGCGAGCCACCCTTTTGCGGAGTCCTTTTCAAGGCCTTGCATCGAAACCCTTAAGCTGGGGGAGAAACAGTCATGGACCCCGAATCCGGGGCCGAACCGGGGAGGGGCGTGACTCCATTGCTTTGGGGAAAGGGCACATGTTTGGTTGATGTTAAAGGCGAACACCTTTCAACCAAAAAGGAGACGAAGGTACTGGATGGAAAGTAAGCTGGCCTGAGGGCTTTTCGAAAGGAGACCCCTGCAAGGAAAATTTGGCACTGCAGCCCAAGGTGGAAGTGTATTATAAATTGTTTTTGTGGCAACCGTTTGGAGGGAAACGAAAGGGAAGGCGGGAAACAAGCTAAAACTTGTTTGACCCCCCCCCTGACTAGTCCTAGCATCCGCCCCCCCCCCAAGAAAAAGAGCAGTCCTTTTGGATTGTACAAAAGGGTACTAGAACAAAAACCACCAATGGAATTGAAAGCAAGCTGAGCAAAACCTAAAGTTGACCCGAATCAATCAACGAGTGTATCCCCTAAAGTAAGGGTTCCTCTTTCATTGGACACCCCATTCATCAACAATTGATTTATCCTGGGCTCTCATTGTGTTTGTGGCCGTCGGTTTGACTGGAACAAACACATGAACCCTAGATACTATATCCCTAGGCTGATTTCATTTGCTTCTAAGGAAACCAGCCACCAAAGGGTTCGAACATGGCCCAAAATGACTATGCCTCCCCATTTGGCCTTGCGTAGTTCCCGGGTACCGGCAGGAAGCCGCTCATTGTTTCACGGGCTCCGCTCTTTGGACGCCCGTTTTCCTTTGAAACCCAGGGCTCGTGGGAGGGCGCTGTGAGGTTTGCTGGCATCTCCCCCACCAGCGACTGGAAGAAGCCGTGCCGCCTCTTGCGCAGCTCCTAGCGAGTCGGGGATCTTTAAACAGGTTGGCTCCTAATCCGGCAGCTAGAAACCGTAATTTCAGACCCAACATGGGTTCCTCCACACAATACAACACGGAACGCAACACAGATGATGTATAATTATTGTATAATAATAACAACAGCAATAATAATATAATCACGACAATAACAACATAATATCTAATAAACATATGCAATAATAAGATATAATAGTAGTACTACTAATAATAGTAATAGTGATAATAATAATACTAATAATAATAATACTAATAATAATAATACTACTAATAATAATCATAATAGTCATAATAATAATAATGATAATGATACTACTAATAATAATAATCATACTAATACTGAAATTGAAAATAATAATATAGTAATAATATAATAATAATACTAATATTAATAATAATACTGATGATAATAGTGTCAATAGTAATTACGAGTAGTAATAATAATAATAATAATAATAATAATAAATAATAATAATAATAATAATAAAATAATAATAATAATAATAATAATAATAATAATAATAAGGATATGCTAATAATCAGAAGAAACAACATATAATAATATCATGATAATAGTAAAATTCGGGGGTTGTGCAAAATCACTTCTCCGGAGAACTGCTCTTCCGCCGCCCTTCCGCAAAGCTTCCGCGGCTTCCGCGCGCATTGTAAATTATCACTGGTTTTCGATCAATGTGCTCGGTTCCTGGCCCTTCCGCCGCCCTTCCGTGTCTCTTCCTTCCGCGCACACAGTGGGAAGCTCATGGCAAGTAAGCCTGGATATTCGGAATACTAAGCCGAATACATGGGTCTTAGACCGACGCCCATATGACAATAACAACAATAATAACAACAACAATAATATGCAATGATGTACCATATCTTTGGAGGAGACCCCAGTCAACTTCAGACTCCGATTCACAGCGGCTCTCCTCTGGCGGCACTTGCGCATTCCTGCTGTGGGCGGCCCGGGAGTAAAAGAGGAGATCCGCGGGTTTGTCGCGGATGTATCTGGGAAGATACCTTAGTGGTTGGTTGACTCAGCCAAAGCTATATAAATGAGTGGGATGACTCTAATTGCAAAAACATAACTCACCAAATCTCTAACTAACAGTCATAAACTTTAAAAGTTGAACAGTCTGCAGGTATGCCCACGCCAAGATACCAAAAGGGAGTACTGGTGGCGATCGTCACCTCGGAGATCGCGTTTTCCATGCGTTGAAACCAACTCCAACCAGAACGCCCAGGTAGAAAAGTACGTGGAAGCCATTGAAATCAGTTGCAACCAGTGACCTTTCCAAGCCTTAGAGAGGAGCAACCAGTGACCCGAAAAATATAAAGATTAAATGGTGTTGGGAACCAGATCTTTTTCGCGTTGCCCACTTTTACTGGGACACCCAAACCCAACAATCCATAACCTAAAACCAAACTTCCCACACCCCACAACCCAACTTCCGCAGCTCCACCCAACTTTACACCACCTACCCAACGTTCCACTTAGCCTAAGCCCCAACTTAACACCCAACTTCCCACCTAGAGCCCGATTCTCCACTAGACCCACGCTCATTTCCAGGGCCTGGGGCTTTTTGCTCGCCGCGAATCGTTCGAGGTGCCGAAGCCGCGGAGCCGCCCAGCTCCGTGGCGATGTCTGCGCCGCTGAAGGCCGCGCCCACCACCAGCACGCGAAGGCCTGGATGGGTCTCTTCACTTGGCTTAGGCTGTGGCTCAAAAAAACGGAACCAAAATGGAACCAAAATGGGTTGCCCTGGTAAGTGGAAACACGACCAACACCTGCGTAACGTCTCCTGTTTAATATTGAGCACCCAACTGGGTCAAAATCCAAATCGTTAGCCCCCAGTGAAAGGGACCCAATCCAACCACTAAAATAGGTTCTAAAAGGGGTGGTGAATTCACCTGCCCCAAAATGGGATCCCATTGGTTTTGACCCATGGCCAGGTGTCTTCACCTTGCAGTCAGGTGACAACAAATAGCCCCCAACATTGCCCATGTTGTTTTCGACTTTCCCCCTGCAAAACATCTTACCCCCGCAAGTGAGTAGCATTCAGTAGCCGTGGAATCGGGTGCGCGCGCGCGCGCGTGTGTGTGTGTGTGTGTGTGTGTTTGGAGTTGGTACCCCTCCTTTGTTCTGGTTTCAAAGGGAAGCCAAAAGGAAACTCCACCATGTTGGGGAGGGGGTTCTATCATAGGGGACCCCCAAAATGGGCTTCGTGTTTCCTTGGTTTCCCTTCACAACCACCCCAAAAGTGGGTACCCTCAAAAATGACAGCCCCAAATAGATCAATGAGCCCCAGAAAGAGAGAGAGGTCTCTATCCATGGCTGACTCTATGTCCCTGGAAACAAACGGCCGGTGATAGATTGCTCTTGAAACCAACAGGGGAAAATCGAGAATCTTATTGAGCAAATGGACGATCTTGTTGCAGGCAACCCTTTTTTTGAGGTTGGTTTCCAAGAGAACCCCTTAGTTTGGTTTGAAAGGGGTAGTGACCGGGTAGTGGTCATAGAATAGTAAAGGGGTCACATGGCCCATCGACTTGCGCCCAACTGTACCCGATGGTACCCTTTTTCGGTTGCTTGGGAATGTCCGATGAGAAAATCAGTGGGTGACTTGGGTGTGTCTTTCGAGGGTACCCTTTTGGGAGTGCTTTTAAAGGGAAACCGAAACAACATACACTCTTTGCAACAATCACCCTGACGGCCCCTAGCTTTGACGCCTTGGAAGCTTTCTGGGTCCCGGTAGTCCGCTGCATGGCTCACGTGCCCTGCAAAGTCCTCAACCCCAGGCACGGAAGCGGGCGTCGAGAAAATGCCTCGGGCTCCCGAGGCCATGCGAGTATCAATCAGCACCCAACCAAGAGGTATAGAGTTAGCACATGCTGTTTGTTTTCCCATGAGGGCCATGAGGGTCACAATTGCAAAATGGCGGACTTGTACCCTCAAAAAAACACGCAAAAACAAACACACACACACACACCAACGCACACGCAAACACACTCACAACCACAAAAACCAAACACAAACAAAAACACAAACACAAACACAACCACAAACAGAAACACAAGCAAAAACACAAACACAAACACAACCCACACACACACAAACACACAAACACACAAACACACAAACACACAAACACACAAACACACAAACACACAAACACACAAACACAAACACAAAAACACACACACACACACACACACACACACACACACACAGACACACACCACACACACACACACCAACGCACACGCAAACACACTCACAACCACAAACACAAACACAAACCAAAACACAAACACAAACACAACCCACACACACACAAACACAAAAACACACACACAGACACACACACACACAGACACACACACACAGACACACACACATACACACACACACAGACACGCACACAGACACACACACAGACACACAGACACACACACACACAGACACACACACACAAACACACACAAACACACACACACAAACACACACAAACACACACAAACACACACACACAAACACACACACACACAAACACACACACAAACACACACAATCACACACAAACACACAAAAACACACAAAAACACACAAACACACACACAAACACACACACACACAAACACACAAACACACGAACACACGAACACACGAACACACGAACACACGAACACACGAACACACAACACACAACACACACACACACACACACACACACACACACACACACACACACACACACACACACACACACACACACACACACACACACACACACACACACACACACACACACACACAACACACAAACACACAAACACACAAACACACAAACACACACACACAAACACACACACACAAACACACAAACACACAAACACACACACACACACACACACACACACACACACACACACACACACACACACACACACACACGCACACGCACACGCACACGCACACGCACACACACAGCCGACAGGCAAACACACAGACAGACAAACACACAGACAGGCAAACACACACACACATACACACAACAAAAAAAACACACAAACACAAAACCACAACGACACAAACACACGAACACGCAACCACACAATCAGACAAACACGCAAACACACAAAGACACAAAGACAGAAAGACAGAAAGACGGAAGTACACAAAAACACAAACAGACAAAGACACAACGACACAAAGACACACAGCCACCAAGCCACAAAGACACAAACAAACAAACAAACACAAACACACAAACACACATGCAAACACGCACACACACACAAACACACACACACAAACCCAATTAGAGGTTCCATGTGCTACTGGATGTTAATCCTTATACTTAAGGGGTAGGGTGCTTACACCAGGGTGTCGGCAAGCAAAGACAACGATGACACCAACACGGGCAAATTGCATCATTTATTTTCACCCGACTGTAGTAAGTGGGCAGGAACTCTGAGTACAAGTAATTAGTGGGTCACAAGTCATAAGGTTACACACTCCCTACAGTAAGTTGGCCTCAAGCACCCCCCGTGGATCACTGCCCTCGTAGGAACCCTGATAGATTCCTGCATTTTGGGCTAAGTCGTACTTGGGCCTATCAACCGCAGATTTGAGACACTTAAGTTGGGTGCAGTCACCAAATACTGAAGCAGGCGATCGGGCAAAAGTCTAGCAACCCAGCATATATAACCCGCTTACACCTGCTACAAGTCTCTGTTCAGTGGTCAAGGGCTGTGATGCGCATCTGCCCACTTGCGAAATATCAATTCATTTTTGGGGATGTGCCTGGATGTCCCCTGCCCCCCCTCCCCGACCGTAGGACTGAGGCCGGTTTCCATTTTTTCTGAGGCATGAGGACTTCTGGTCGGTGTATTTGTATGGCGCGTGGAAAGGTCCTTTTGTGCTTTCCGTTGGCGGCCTTGAAAGACTGCATTGGAGGAGTCACTCTCAGGGCAAACCTCAAGATGAAACCCCAAACTTCCCTGCCCTCAAGGACCCTACTACTACCAACCCTAGGGTGGGACCACAAGTCGCAGGGGCTCAATAACATGTCAACGTGTTGCGAGGAAGAAAGGCCAAAGAGCAAATAAGGTCTGAATGCTTGGGGGTCGGAAGGTTGGTAGGGTCCCATGACCTTAGCAGGGCAACTAAAGCAGAGTTGTAACAACAAAGCCTTCATAAAATGTGCATCTCAACAGCACACAACCCTCTCGACCTTCCTAAACGCCATCAAGCATGTGTGGATTTTTCAGGGGAGCCATTTTGGCGAAAATCGGCAAAGGAACACATGCTGGCTTTTGGTGTTGTTCTTGGCGTGAGGGCATTTCACTACTGTTATTGCATGTTGCGCAGTGGTTAACTGCATAGTTTCGCGGTGGCGGCAACTATTCGAGCATGGCAGCTCTGGCAGGCGCACTGGCTGAGTCTTGCCTGGTTTGCGGACAGTGCTAGCTGCCAGTCGAACGTGCGATTGTTGCAAAGGCTTCAGTCTGTTGAGTTCAATTGTTTTGTCTGCTTCATTCTGAACTCACATAAAAACACAGTGTTTGCCCATGCATCGCAATTCTTGAAGTGTTGTCCGGATTGAGCGGTCCGCAGCCCAGCATGATGGGCACGTTTCGCGCAAAGGTGATTTACCCGCCTGTGACCTGTTTTGGGGGCGCGTCAAAGCGAAACCAAAAGTACCCCGACTTCGGGTGTCTAAAAAAGCTGCATAACATTAACTTCGGAATCCGAAAACAATCGGTGGTGGGAAACTATAACTTTTTGGGAATCGGAGGGACCTTTTCCATGGTCCACATGAATGTTGATTCAATGCAGCCCTCTGGGACGCATGGAGGAACCCAATTGGCCATAGTTGGCCTCTTTTCGAGGAAGCCAGCAAAATTGGAGCTCCGAGTGGTCGGGAGCTACCCCTAGGGCCGAAGAAGCCAACCCTGAGTTGATGGAGTGCCGTTACTTGAGTGACTATGTGACTTTTTAGGCCTGAACCAAAAGCAAATTGCCAACTTTGCAGGTTAAGTTCTTAAAAACGGGCACGCGATTCTCGGATGGTCGAAAGTTGCCCCTGCGATTCTCGGCCCTGAAGATTGAGCTGCCGGTGGCGACGACCAAAAAGTCGAAGCTCTCACGGGTCACTTCCCCGGCAGACTCCACAGTCACTTGCCACCCAGGACCCAGTGACACCACCTCCTGCGCAAAAAGAGTTTCCAGAACCCCCCCGCCTCCCCGCAGGCCACCATGGACACGTGTGCTTTGCAGTTTGTTTGTTTGTTTGTTTGTTTGTTTGTTTGTTTGTTTGTTTGTTTGTTTGCTTTTTTGCTTGTTTGTGTGTTTGCTTTTTTTGCTTGTTTCACACGTTTCGCCAAAACCAGTTACGCTGTAACCCAAAAGTGGGATTCTGAATTCAAATCCAGGCGGCTTTAGGTCGACTTACCACAATGACAATGACCTTGTTTTTCTTAATTCTAACCAACAAGTTGAAAAACCATCCTGGGAGAGACGATCGATCGTCTTTAAAATCTAACGTGGAATCAAACATCTAGCTGAAATCTAGTTTATATCTTCTTGGAAAAGGACATCCTACTTATTGTCCTATTGGAAGTTAGACATTATAATACAATTATGTCTTTATCAAATTGTCTTTGAATTCTAGTTAGAAAATTGTACAAACATCCTGGAAGATAAGATTTCTTTCCCTATTCAATTCTATTTCAATCAGAAAAACAAAGGAAACCCTCTTTCAAATCTAATTGGAATTAAGAATCCCAATTGAAATCTAACAAGATATTCTAGTAAAGTTATCTAATTCTTTCTGAAAGAGCTGCGCTCCAACCTGTCTGCAAACATGCTTGGTCTGCGCTTCCGCAAGGCTTCCCTCCCTAAAGCTTCCCCTAATCAATTCAGGGCTCCCGAATCCTAAGGGGCTTGCAGAATCTAGAGGGTGAATGTGCAGATTTGACCAGTTGTTCTTGTCCAACCATCCTTGCGCACAGGTTCCTCAAGAGCCTCCCTGCCCTAGCAGTCCTGGCGTGAGGCACTTCAGCCCCTTCAGTCCCTCAAGGCCTTTAATATGTTTCGTGCTCTTAGACTCCAAATCTTAATTCTAAGTGGCCTCAAGTCTCAAAGTCTTCCCACCAAGTTGTATTTGCCCACGATAAGTTTCAACCATTCAAAGGCTTAACTTACCCACATTTCAAATTGTCAAAGAAATCTAAACCCGAGCTATGCCTTTAGCCCTGAGGCCGTGAAGCCCCTTGAGGCCCTTAAGGTCCCTAAGCTCCTTGAAGGGATTCCGTCACTTTCGCAAACAATCATGAACAAAGCTGGAAATATGACTTGAATAGCGTGACTCTACCCAAGATGGAAAATAAAAAAGTCAGATCTGGTCGATTCGCGGTTGGGAACATCTTGCAAGCTGCTTGAACTCCCACATGATTGCAGTTGGGCCCTATTATCAAGTACGTACGCATTGCAAGCATTGTGTAAAAGTTTGTCTCACCTGTGCATTCTCTCGTGGGCAGTTCATGATGCCATGATCCTTATTGGGAACATTGTACCAACGAAAGCCCTTTCGTAGCAAAAGGGAAGAAGTCTGGACATCCATCCTAACTTGCTGCTTGCGGGGACAAGAAACTGGCAACCCCGCAAAATGACATGACTCGATTCTTGAGGATTTGATCCAGCACGAATTTGACTGCATCCTCGGAATAAAGGACGAGGGCGGGGGCTTGGAATTTGCTTTTCGAAGCCCTTGGTCAAGCCGTACCACACGGAACATGCATAAAACCAAGGCCGCGGTGGGGGTCCCCTGGGAAAAATTGCCAGGAAATTCAATTAACATGCCTTGCCATTTTGCTTTTATGTGAACCACCCCAACAGGGAACTCATCCATTTCGCCTCGAGAATTCTTAATCCGCCAAAGATGGGCGAAAGTCGAGGCCACACAGGCTTAAGAGCATGTCTGCAAGTAAGGCGGCCCTTTGCTCGTGTTACCGTCTTGGTGTCTCTGTTGAACACCTGATATCGACGAGGTGTATTCAACATCATTGGGACGGTCGGATGTCCAAACCAAACTTACGGACACGGTTGTGGGAAGTCAAGGGGAGACCAAAGGGAAACCATGAACACCACGCATGGCTTTTTTGGCCCCCCTCGTTTTGATAGATCGTTGTGGCTTGGGTATCGCTTCAGTCGCGGAATCCGTCAAAGGTTCTGATGTGTGCCTTTTGAGCTGGCCGGCCAGCACTGGAGCACCACCACCCACACATACCACATAACATAAGGAGACCAGGTTTAATTTACTGGTCATGAAACTGCCATGTTTGATATCCTTTGCGGCTGCAGGTACCCCTGACGAAGGCCTCAATGAGTTCTCTGAATATGCTTCACTTCGCCAACCTGACACTCACACCACGAATTCTGCAACCTGCAAAGTGAGCGGAAGACCATGCTCCTAAAGGGATCTTCGTTGAGAGTCCTTTCTTTTGAATCTTCTTTGGGAACCCTCCCAACTTGACAACCCTCTACACATGCAAAGAAGCCGGAACATTTGAAGGCGGAATGTGCAGGAATCCAAGTTTGCCGCCCTGGTATGAACCCCCGGGTTTTTCTTCAAAACAAGCCACCAGCTAAAACCCGCCAATGGCTTCATAACTTCAGCCTGGCTGAGATCGTGGTTCGGTCCTGAACCTCAGATGATGTGCGCACCTCAAAGGCGGGTTTTTGCTCGGTGAGCCGCTACCGGGCTGCATTTTGCAAAAAACAAATCCTCTGCAAATGACTTGACGAAAAAGGGGGATTCCACGGAAATATGCAGGGGAGCAGCACCCTCCAGAAATAAAAACATCTACGGTTGACTCGAGCACAAAATTAGACTTTGTCGTGACATGCTAAATCTGCTTCCCACTAGTAGCCAACTAAGGACATCTTCGCCTGAGCAATATGTTTGCTTAATACTTGCAAGTCAGTAGCACCATCACCATGTCTAACGTACCAAATGTTTACATGTGAACATCGCCAATGCAAACAAATGGCCTACACACATGCGGCCCCATCAAACATGGGTGGCAACAAGCAGTTAATGCGGAACACCAAAGGCTGAACCCAACACATGTAAACCATATTCAAGTGTATGAGGCGCCCTTTGGGGGGAGGTATCGGTAGAGTACTGCTATACACAAAGGGGCTATGTTGGTCTTACAACATACCAATCAGCTAAGGTCCATTCCAAGCTCCCGAAGCCAGCGCGAAGGGTTTGAAACGTGGAATACTTCCAACCAAAACCGGATGTGTCAGGCGGCCACGCATAGTATTTCTGGTGGGGGGTCCACCTTTTAAAGGGGATACCACCAAGGTAGGGTCTTGAATGGATCTCAGCGGAATAAAAGATAGGGCCGAATACACATGACACTGAGAAGCAAAGCTCACATTGACATAGAAAACCTGCGGTGCATATAATGCCCCCCCCCATTGCATCATTCAAGGAGGCCCTGTTGTACATGGTCATGAGGCATAAGGTTTCATCCTTCCAAGTGAACGACAACTTGTCATGAGAACAGATTAATTTACTGTAACCCTGTCGATACATAGGGGGGGGCTCTTTTTCTGGGAATCCTTCGCATTTTAGACAAACATGCTTCGCTTTTCAGACAAACACCCCCTATTAATCTGCAAGGTTGGTTAGATCTGGGGTATTCTGGAGTCGACATTATGTAAAGTGGGGGCCGGGGCGGGCCTCGGGCCGCCTTTTTGACTGTCAGAACATTCCAACCTGCGGCAGGGTCCCCAAAGAAAAAAACACTAAACTAAGCCTACAAGCAAAGCCAAACAAGTGCGTAACACACAGCGCTCTTTCTAACTTGTCCGGAAACAAGATCAAACAAAAAAACTGTACCTGCCAATGGCCAAGCGTGCGAAGGGTCTGGATAACTCAAAACATTGTCCAAGCCCGGTTGAATTCAAGGAGCTTTGCTGGGGGATGGTTTCCAGACCCCCCTGAAAGGAGGTTTCCCCTTTGATTAAAACCAAAGTGTGCAAACAAAAACCACGGATCGAGCGTAGGCGCTAAGGGCAGCAAGCCTTTCGCCTCGGCATAGCGGTGCAAATAGTTCCGCATGGCGTGCGCGCTCGGGAAGTCCGGCGCGGCCTCGGCCCGAACATTGGCTGAGTCAGGGAAATCGTGACCAGTTCCCTTGAAAACCAACCAGACACAAACAAACACATCCGGTCAAGGAATGAACATTAGCGACCTCATAGCGCAGGTTCTAAGGGGCCCCCTGCGGCAAGTTGAGTCCCGAGACCGCAAGTCGATGACAAGGTAACAAGCGACCTCAGGAAAAGAACACCCTAATAACTGAAAAGGATTGATGGGTCCGTGTTTAAGCTGAACAAAAATGCCAGACTCACGCCTGGTTCAAATCACATACAATGCAATGTTTATGCTAAAGCGCTGGTTCTGGGCCGCTAGCCACCACTACGTACACAAAGTCAACAAATCAACGTTTGCAAACACAACCATCATTTGATTGCTGGCCTGGGAGGGTGATACACCCTGTGCAATTTAAACATGATTCCTCGAGACAAGCGTTGTGGCCCTAGGGAGGGCCCGTACTTGGCCCGTCCAGAGCTGAAGGGGGGCCCGCGACTGCTGTTGAGGGTTGAGGTCCCGGAACCGTTGTGCAGGGAAACGGGAGTGTATTCGGTACGAGTACCAAAAACATGTGAATCCTTTCGGCACTAGATTCGAAACTTTCCTAGAACGTCTTTTCTGAATGGCTGGGCAGGAACTCAATCAAGTCTGCATTTCTTTTAAGCAATTCGCGAAGTCTCTTTGGGCTCGCCCCCTGCAGTCAAAGGTCCTGGAGTTCATGATGCAAAAGCCGCATGGCTTCGGGGCAAGGAACTAGGGAGGGAGTGGCAGCGAGTTCTGCTTCTATGACTCCCCAATTGCAAACTCCCCTCCTGCTGGAAATGCCGCCTTTTTCGGAGAAAGGGTTCAAGATTCACCGGGAATAGCTCGGCCAGGGAGGTTTCTTACCGTAGGAAAACTGCCATTTGGGACCGCAATGATCACACAAATTGGAAGTGATGGTTGATGAGTTACCCAGTGAGTCCATTTAGGTACTCAAGGGTTCCCACCTTTGAACTCAGAAAAATGAATGTGGCAGCACCTCTCCGGTTTCGCACGTTCCCTCGCGCCTTTGGCCAGGGGAAGTCAGAGAAGGAGCAGGTGTACTTGGACAGGTTCGTGCGCAGGGAGCGCCACACCTGCCCGACACGTCCGCTGCGAGGACGAGAATTCGAGCCACTCAAAGGCCAATTGAAACAAATCAGGACCTTAACCACCAGCACCCTCCGACTAATTACTGCCCAGTGGTCGGTAGATAGAACATTCCAAAAAACAGACCATAGTGAGCAAAAATACTGTCTTTCTTTTGAATTCGGGATGCCCGTGGTCATGACTTGCAAATGACAACATGCTAGCGACATGCAGTAGCAAGCAAGTTCTGCTTAGTAACACGCATGGACTTGCGTGTTGCGTGTCACTTGCGTTTCACCTGCGTGTCAGCATGTCAGAACAACAGTCAGTAGATCGGTTCAAACAACGGCAGTGTTACCCGTGTCAATGCGTGTCACCTGCGTGTGACTGCGTGTCACGCGCGTTATCTGCGCAACTACTGCCACATAGACAGTAGTCACGAACATACAACGGAAGCAGCAGTCGGAGGGTGCTGGCACCTGGGTTTTAGACTTCCTTGGTGCCCCCCACGCATACATTACTTGCCTTGTGCCCACGTTTCGTAAACATGTACAGGGAAGGGCTTCGTAGTGCTTCGGGTCTCCGCTTCCATAGCTTAGGGGGACTTTCCCAAAAAGCTCAAGGAGACACTGTTGGCTGCTGAGCGCGAGAACCACGCGTTCCCTCCATTTCAAAAGCTGCGCATGTTCCCAAAAAGGCTAGGCTTCGCAAAAGCCAGTGAGCCAAAGGTGGAATTCTCACTGGAGCATTTGGAACCTAATTCCGAGCTGAGGTTTGTGTCTATCGAGCTGTCTACAAAGATTCACCTAGGTAAATGCAATGCATCGTTACATAACATGCATCCCCAAGAATCAAACCTTCATGGATGCGGTTGCAGACCATTGTGAGGCCATGTAACCCCACCCAAAGAAGCCCCGCCCCCAGCTGGGGTCGGGGCTTGCCGAATCTGGCGGTGTGAAACTGCCTCTTGAAGAACTTTGCTATCTGTTTGTCGGGCTACCATCTATATATAACTTGGGGCCAATGGGACTCTGAACTTCTCACAAGCAGCACAGTGGGAAATCCAAGAAACCCGCAAGTTCAAGTTGCTCAGGAAATTACCTGACTCCCTTGCACACCATAATTGCTCAGAATTGCTGCTCATTTTAAGACCCTTCCCCGAACAAAGCAGAACACAAGTGCAATTTGTTGCCAAGGGCTTGAATCCCTCCTTTGATCATGTACATGTGGTGCGCATCTAACTTCCTGGAACCACACTTTCTCACTAATAAAGCTTAATGCGCTTCTTCTCCTGCATTTGCACAACTCTGCTACTACGAACTTATTATATATTTCCCAGTCCCTTCAAAAAGTAGAACAAACACAACATATCACAAGATGTTTCTCAGTCCCTTTAAACAGCAAAACAAAAGAACTCAGCTTCACTAAATGGAAGCTCCGGTTGGTCCCAATACAGGGGTGCTATGCTCCCCATGCCGCGCCTTGCCGTGCTCTCTCCAAAGTCCACCCACATCTTCCGCGGCTTCGAAGATGACCGGCCTACAAAAGCCGACCGTGTGTCCCGAAATCAGGTAGCTGCACTGACGAGCTCCTTTACCAGACGGAACAAACCAAGCCTTGCGCAAGGAGGCCCAAATCAGAGCGCCTGGGAAGTTGGGTGTTTCGACAAGTGAGCAAAATAGCTAACGTTTTGGAGCTCAAAATCCAATAGATTAAATATATCTGTATATGAGTATGCAGCTGACCAACAAATTGATAGGCCACCAACAAACAGTACCCTCACGTCGCCTGTTGCTCATAGGGTCACATCTACCGACCAAAGACCGCAAAGACTGGGACCGTTTCAGTGACCCAGAGCCATGACCGACCGCCCCTTGTTCAAACCGGCTTCTTTAAATAAAGGCCAGCCGCGCGACCCGAGAATCCCTCAAAGTGCTCACTTTATACCCTTTAGTGGGTTAAAGGAAAACCACCCATAAAGTGATCATCCTCCAAAAATACCTCTGGTGTTCAACGGGACTCGCCTCAAGCCCTCCTCGAGCGCCGCAGCGCCAGCGCTCAGCCCAGCCGGCCCCGCCCCCAAGATGCCCACCGACATCGAGGCCGAGGACGCAAGCCGTGCGCTCATCAAGAAGCCGCTAGGCCGCTAGCCATGGCCGGCGAGCGGCCAATCCGGCCGTCAGATTGTCTGTTCAAGGCTACAAACAGGAGCTGTTGATATCCGCAACAGGCAAAGGCGGAAGTCGGAAGTGCCCCCAATTCGACTCTTCATGTTGTTTTTTGGGTATGTGCCTGAGGGCCAGGAGCTGGACAATGATGGCTTGAAAGGAACGCACAAGGCCAGGTGTCAGAAATATGGGCGGAATCAGGTGCCTGCCTGGACTGGAAATGGGCAGCCAAAAGGTCAGCAACTGAGCAACTCGGACGTTCCTTCAGCAGCCAATTACTTGCTGGTTCTCGGTCAGGAATCAGCAAGGTTTCGGGAAAGCTGTGAATCTCCTGGAAACCGAAAAGGGATGGTTCAGTTCGATTCGGGTCATTCCAGCTGTTTCCCAAGTGAGAACCAGCAGATTCACCCAGCTTACCCACCGGAACTTCCCCCGTTTAGATGGTCTGGGGCTGAGGAAGTTGGCTGTACATAACGCTAAGAGGGTTTACAGGAGTTTGGGAGTTGAGGGTACTATCCACTGAGCCAACATCCAGACCATCTGACCAGCTCAAAACAAATCTGTAAACAGAACCAAACAGGCAAATAAGCAGAGTCAAACACCAACAGTATGAAGCAAACTAATTGGCTGATCCCCTCTCAATATGGTCGGTTTAAAAGATCTCATATTCACACCCCAAGAAGCTAAAGACAGCAACTTGAGGCACAAAATTTGAAAGGGCTTCAACATGATGGCAGGTCACTGGTTTTCCCCGTGATCAGACTGTCGTGTCCCGTTTGGTGTGCCAATTTTGGAGGTCCAAGGTTGGAAGCCTCGCCCCAATGAACATCAAAGCTGCGGGGTTGCTTCCCAGGCACCAGACCCGTAGAGCTCTCTGGACCACCCACCAGCAGACCCAAACGTAAGCCCGCCTCAGCGTTCCGGCGCCGGTCGATGGAAGCGTCCTTATGAGAGGGGCCACCTCGCTGCCGGACGAACCTTCTCAATTCCAACCCTGGTATATTGGCCAAAGTATGATTGCACCAAGTCTGAACTCGTCTTACCCTTTAGAACTTGGGATGGGTCGGGTTGACTGGTAGCCAACCCAATTATTGAACGTTTCTAAATCAAGCCGACGTGGCTGAAGCCTACGAATCGCACTGTCCAAACCCAAGCCGTAAGTGCATTCGTGGCTGAAAAAATGGCTTCCGGGGAAGGGCTTTTCGGACCTCCGTGGTGCCTGGCTTCCCTCGTTTGGGATCGAAGAATGTATTATGTGTATACCTGCCTTCAAGAGCACCTACAAAAGATGTGTGCCCCCAAAAGATCCAAAGGCACTCCAGCTTCGCCTGACAAACAGCAAGTTTGTTCAGTGACCTCATCTGGCTGCGAAACATTTTGGTAGGGATTCATGTCCGCCACCCACTTTTGATGTGATTCCCTATTAAATGTCATGCCCATTTAGGCTGTGTGTAGCTGTGTGTGTCTCTGTGTGCAATCCCCAAACAATGGAGACATACCCACATAAACAGCCGTGTGCCAAAACTGGTGGAAGGCACGTGAAACCGCCCACTACAAAGGGAAAGACGATTCCGATTTGAATGCGAACTCCTTCCACGTGGCAAAGGCAAACTGATCATACTACAATACCATCATGTCTCGATGAATTCCTAGCAATCCCTAGTCCAAGGATGAACAAATAATGATTTAGGATAACTATGCGTTGCTGGGAAAGGGGGCGTGGCCTTCTTGTTCCCATTCTGGGGCAAGAAGGGGGCAAAAAACTGGGTTGCATATCTATGATTTGGGGGTTAAGGTTCAAATGCTTAGCACCCCGTTGAAAAAGGGGACTTGGGGATTTGCCCTTCACGGAACCTCAATCCATCTGTTCTGGCAGGAACCTCCTTTTAAAAGACCACCTATTGGGGGTAATTGCTTCGTTTTGCCAACACTGTTCGTCATAAATCCAAAGCTCCAAAGTCTGAGGGATTGGAATCGCCCAACTGAATTTGGGTGCGTCGTGTTTGGGGGGACATGCTTTTGCTTGTGGTTTCCCTTCAAAACACTAACCAAAAGGGTACCTGTGTGCAGGTCCTCGGGAGAGTTGGTAAAACCACGTTCAGATTTGCGCCTGCCTGGCGACAGCAAGGCTTCGAAGGTGAGCACTTGCAAGTGGGCCTTGACACCGACAGCGCCAAAACAAATCCCAAGCCGGGGAAAATTGGGCTTGTGTAAAACCTAATGGGTTTTATTAAAACCCAAGGCATGAAACGAAGAAATTTTAAGTAAGCCTAGTGCTTCCAGGCGTTGTGTCACTATAGTAACCAGGAATCCTTACCTTTGGGTTTTACATCATGGTTTCCGGAAGCACTGGGTACTACATATACCGGCAACTTGGATCCAACCAACAAACAAGGGATCTTCAGGACCCCGCCCCATGGCGGTCGAATGGTTTGTGAACGAGTTGGGAGGGGCCAAACCAATCACCTGCACTATTGGCTTCTCTCCGCGATCCTCAAATCTTGAAGGAACCCCCAACGAACAGTCCGGGTGAGCTCGTTGCACCCTCGGATGGATCGTTCTAAACAAAAACTCACGCACAAGGGAGGGCTTCAAAGACACCCTATTCCGGTTATTCGACTTTTAGGTCCATTTTGGATGCCCTTATTTGAACACCCGCGCAGTGCGGCTGTGTTCTGCTCCTTTGTCGTGTCCCGGTTCGGGGGTCATGCCAGGTACGGGCCAAATGGAACCTATCAATACGATTCAATCAACCAAGGAAAGGCTGGTCTGATTTTATCTTTATGCTTTCATGCAAAAGCCATTTTGAAAAGGACACCAACTCAAGACAAGGCGCACCCTATACACGCCGGTCAGGTGGTTCTCTTGCCTTTGGGGCAAGCTTGGGGGGCCGCGCCTTACATCTACAACCAAAAATCAGCCCCTGTGTGGGCAAATATGATCTAACGCATTCGCTCCTGACCACTCCTGCCGCGATTCGCGCCTTCCGCAGCTTGTTCGCCAGGTGAATCTTTAGATCGGCATCATCACTGCCTGACCCAGTCCGTGCCCACGCACAATCACACGCACACGCACACGCACACGCACGCGCACACGCGCACGCACACGCCCAGGCGCACGAACACGCACACGACGCACACAGACACTCGCACGCACACGCACACGCTCGCACAAACACAAACACAAACACAAACTCAAACTCAAACACAAACACAAACACAGACACAAACAAAAACAAACACAAACACAAACAAACACAAACAAACACACACAAACAAGCAAACAAACAAACAAACAAACAAACACACAAACAAACAAACAAACAAACACAAACACAAACACAAACACAAACACGAATACGAACACAAACACAAACACAAACACAAACACAAACACAAACACAAACACAAACACAAACACAAACACAAACACACATGAAAACGCAAACACACCCGCACGCGCACACACACACATGGCCTCAACATTGCTTTCTCCCAAAACGGTAGGTGTTATTTTGGTTTCCGCTGCAAATACAAAGCAAAACGGGGTCCGAATCCCATTTCTTCTAAGCAATCAAAATTCCTTGGTAAGAGCCGAGTGGCAGAGGAAGACACTTGGGCAGCTCAGCGCGGAGCAGAACCTTGGCTCAACGATCGACAGCCCTATCCAGTGGATCAAGTTACCCGGAAAAAGCGGGGAAAACCACAATGCTGCCATACTGGCCCCTGGAAGCTCGAAAACGACAGCGAGCCGGGGGAGAGAGGATTGACACTTTTGCCACTGGATACCAAAATGACAAACAACACGAGACAGAGAGAGAGGCTTTAGCAGTTGATCTTTCCTGTTGGATGCATTAGTGCTCTCAGTTGTTGCTTTTTGTTACGGAGGTTTAACGAGGCGCCTCTGATTGAATGGTGTCCCTGAAACATATGATATAAACCGCCGTTTATGCATGAGCGGCGTGCTGTGCTTGGGCTGGATCTGCGCAGTGTTGGCATTCGGGGCCAAGAGCTCGTTGCTTGTCTGCTTTTGTTCATCCTTGCGGGCACCGGGTTGTCAGGACACTTTCTGTGATACGAAGCGACGAATTCCCGTTAAAGTGATAGAGCAGCGATAGGGATGACCAACTTTGGTATCACAGGCCAAAGACATAGCTTTACATTTACCACTAAGATGGCCTTCCCAAAAAGCTTGAAGTCTAGGAACTCAGGGAGTGAGAGTATGGCCATGATTTTGCTTCTTGGCCACCCCCTTCATGTTGAATGGAACATGTTGGCTTCGGAAGTTCATCTTTCCCACACACATTAGTTGGTCATCCGAGTCTCGAAAGACCCCCCCAATGCGTTCCTCCCGCGGCAAACAAGCATGAAGGGTTGCTCGGCGAAAGCAAAGCCGTCTTCCAATCAGAGTCTGTGCACTCCGCCATGTTTGTTGGAAGGGAAGGACACACCTCACTTGGTCTTAAATGAGTTTTAAGTGAGTAAACGTGACAGGGGCTTACTAGGTTTATACCCCCCGGCGATGTCTCCAACACAGGCGGCCAAGTATGCAGCTAAGGTCTCCATATGTCCAGCAGTGATAGAGTCCTTGTAAAACCGATAGGGGAAATAAACCCAGATTCTTCGGCAAATAGAAGTAGTCTGCAACCCCCTGGGGTGAAGCCCACTTAAGAGCAAGTCGGAACTTCGGGTTCTCTCTCCTTTCCTCTTGCAGCGTACGGGCATGTGGTTTAAGGTACCTTTGAGGCTGGGAAGGAACACCGACATCCACTTTGGGCCCCTATCGAAACCGCCGTTTTCGAGCCCATCATGGCGAAGGAGCTGCCGGATCTGCGCATGGAGCTCTTCCGGGGTCCAATTGTTGGACCTGACGAAGCCGGGTCCCGGGGCCGGACACGGATTCCCGCCCTGAGCTTCTGAGTACATGGAATGGGCAGGTCCTAAAGAATCTAGAGAATTCCTTTGCCGGGAAAATGACCATCCCCTGCGGCAAGCAGCGGGTCATGGTCACCTTTCAGAATCGAGACGAACCTAAAAATCGGTTTCCCGAAATCCATCAGTTCGCAGTTGAAAACCCTTTCAAGAATGCACCGAGGGATTCCCAGCATATTGTCAAGGGGTATTTTCGAGGCCCTGGCGACAACTGTGCCGACTTAAAAAGCAGCTGCAGAAAGGGGTCCCTAATTATGACAACCACTTGCGTGTTGGTCCTCGTGTTTGGAACTCTTTGACTCCCTTACTACTGTTTCAGGGCGGCTTCAGGCACGAAGAACCATGGGATGTTGGGCTCAAGTACCTGCTTAGCCATCCTGGTTGCAGACCACCCATACCTTTACCAATTAGGGTTAGGACTCTTGGGTATTCCTACATGAGTCACAATGGAACCTGGCAGCAAAAGGGTCTACCGACATCCCACGACGTGAAGAATCGAGAGGGCAGTGAGCTCCACCGGAGATTTCATGCCCAAGTGCCCAATGATTTTGGTAGTAGGATTGGAATCTGTCTAGTTGGTTCACCAGTTTGTTGTGTGGAACCCCCAAAGTCAAAGGGATTTAGACAGTACCCCTGAATAAACGAGAATTGTGGCTCACCTCTGCGTCGGCTGCCAAAAGCGGACAGCACCACTTTTGGCACCTTCTCTTTTCTTGAAGCGCCCGTGAGGCGCTTTGCAGGAAAAACGCAACCTTTGCGCTTCTCCCACAGCACAACCTGAAGCAAATTCAAGATGGAAGCTTCACCTTTTGAAAAGGCTGAAGCAACCTGAACTACTGGCAAAAGGGCCAAAGGATCAGCAGAGTCGGCATTGGACTCTATTCAGTCGCTCGAAACCAACAGAGGTTGCATTAAAAGGTGATCGAACAAGTTCGAGATCCCGACTCAAAATGGTTGCCAAAGCCGGAACACCGACAGTTCAGTTGGATCCGGTCAACTCGCTTTGGTTGCAAGTAAAACATAAATCAACATGCGAACTATACTTCTTTAGCCCATACATGCCAAACAAATCTTTCGATTCTGGTCCATACTTGATAACCTCAAACAGTGAAATCATTTCAAAAGGGATTCCAGCCCGGTTCACGTTCTCTTTTAAAAAGTTCGTGATGTGACAAGCCATGGACCAAGCTGAGATGGCTCTTCCCGCTTGGACCCCTCTTTGGGGGCGTCAGAACTCGATTGATATGGGCCTGACTTGGACCTCTGGATTGATTGGGCGGGGGCAGAAAAAACATCGATCATGGATGATCAACACAAGATCCACAAGAAACCCGACTGCAACAACCTGAGTATTTCTTAGTTGAAATGAAGGAACAGCAAAAGGCGACCTCAAGGCAAGCTATAAGTCTGCCAATCCAAAGTGATGGTTATGCAGGTTGGCAAACAGCC